TCAACTATAATGGGTTAACTTTCCACGTATAATCATTTGTTTTTAATAAGGTTCGATTATAATGAGTCATTTCTTGTCATAATCATTCATTTTTATTAAAGTTCGGTTATAACGGATCAATTTTTACAGTCATAATTATTAGCTTTTTAAGGTTCAGTTATTATGGGTCAATTTTTCTAGATATAATCATTCGTTTTTATTAAGGTTCATTTATAATGTTCAACTTTCTTATAATCATTTGTTTTTATTAAGGTTCGATTATAATGTGTCAACTATTTTGATCAAAATCCTTCGTTTTTATTAAGGTTTGGTTATAATGAGTCATTTTTTCCTGTTATCATCATTTGTTTTTATTGAGGTTCAGTTATAGTAAGTCATTTTTTCCTATTATAATCATTCATTTGTAATATTTCTCTTCTAAGATCCCCATAACCAATAAGGACTACCCTTTGAATCCTCATTGACCTTATTTTTATAATTTTATAAATATTTAGCGTATGAAAGTCTTAAACTTTACATAATTTGTTTTTTTTAACTTTTAACTAACAACTTGATTCTTGAATTTTGAATTGTTATATGAATTTGAGCTGCCCTTCTATATCATTGTAGGTAGAATTTCTATATGATCAAGCAACAAGGTTGTATTTAGGAGACACACATATTTGGTCTACTACTGGAGTTCAGCAAGGAGACCCCTTAGGACCACTTCTATTTGCCCTTGTGTTGCACTTGCTCTTGCATAATATTAGAGATAATTGCAAGCTTCTTCTCCATGCATGGTACCTTGATGATGGCACACTTATTGGAGATTCTGAGGAGGCGGAAAAAGCATTAGACATTATTAAGGTTATTGGCCCAAATTTGGGCCTTCAGTTGAATATCAAGAAACCTGAGCTCTTTTGGCCCTCGTGTGCTGGTAGGAAGCTGCGTGAGGGGCTATTCATGGTTGGCATCAGATGGCCGCCATTAGGGGTCAAACTTCTCATGGGAGCTGTTAATAGAGATGCTACTTTCATTGTAACACCCGAAATCTAGAATGCCAATTAAGGAAAGATAATCTTCATTTATAAAGGTCAACTTGTAGAGTTTGGACAAGAAACTCGACGTGTTAGAAAGTTGGGCCGCGTGTTTTTGGAAGACCAACTCGATGAGTTGGGGAGCATCAACTCGACGAGTTGAATGGGGTTTGGAAAACCCTAAAATCGGGACTTTGCACCCTATTTAAACAACTTAAGCCCTAGGGTTTGGCCTCATTTCCGGCCTCCAAGTCCCTAACCCTAAACCTTGAAACCCTAAAGCATATTTGAGTGATTGTAAGCCATTTTGAGTGTTTTTGTGGGTGCTTGAAGCTCTTGGAAGGAAGGGGAAGCTTGAAGGAACAAAGAGAAGTAGCTAGATCCAGAAACCTCACTCCATTATCGACACTTTCTGGTAATCAAGTCTCAAACTTGCCAAGTAGTTGATTAGATCTCCATTTACTGTCCTTTTTGTTTGTTTTGGTCCAAAGGAGATGATTAGTGAGGAGTTGGACGTCCCAAGTGGAGAACATTTCAGATCTAGGGTCTTAAGGGACTTTCATGGCATAAAGGTGCCAACTTTGTGGCCCTAGAAGCCCCATGCAACATCTAAGCTCTTGTTTTGACCTTTAAAGCTCCAAATGGCCATGCATGCGGGTAAAGTTTAAGACTTTATGTGCCATTCTAGTCCTTAGAGTCCAGATCTATGTTCTTATACCCCATCTTGAAGTTTTGAGGACTTTTGGATTTAGATTTAAGCCTTTTTGGAGTTAGGGTTTGAGCTTAATTTCTTTAGGAGGGATATTAATGGGTAAAGTTGGAAACTTTACCCTTCCAGAGGCATTTCCAGTTGAGATCTGAAGTATAGGGTTTAGATATGAAGAATAATGGCTTAATGAGTTTAGAAGGGGTTAACAGACTGAGGAACTCGACGAGTTCATGGAGGATCTCGACGAGTTGATTTGAAATGTCCCGATTCTATTGACAATGAAGAAATCGACGAGTTCATGGAAGAACTCGACGAGTTGGATCGCGAAATCACAATTGTGTGATTCATGGAAACTCGGCGGGTTGAAGGGGTAACTCGACGAGTTGAGTCAACTCGGACGTTGACTTTGACTTTGACCAAGCTTGTCCCAAGGGGTGTTTGAGATAATATGAGGTGTACTTAAGGAAAATATGGGCTTAGGATAAGATCCATATGAGATTGGGCCCAATTTGGAAAATTAGGCCATTAATGGGCTTTTATGGATTTTGGAGTTTTGGGCTTGGGCCTTAGTTATGAATCTTGTTGGGCCAGGGGTAAAATGGTCATTTTACCCCAAGTATGGATTATGGATCATGGGTTGGGACCCAATTGCTAATTGGGTGATATTTTGGTATTGATAGCTCGAGGAGTTGCCAGGGCAGCAGCTAAGGACTTCTTGCAGGGAACTTCAACAGTGCGAGGTGAGTTACCTTCCCGGTATGAGTGGGTTGAAGACACCATTGTCGGCCCACTAGTAGTTGTTTATAGTAGAGATGATTGTCTTTGTGATAATTGTCTGGTATGCCACTATCTGTAGAGATTTATGTGCTTGTATGCTATGTTATCATATGGTACTAGTAGGAGGGGTGAAATAGACCTCGTAGCCGGTTGAGATAAACCGGAGGGTAGGTCGGGCACCCATATATGTCTGATAGTATGTTTATGATATGTTATTATGTGATAGTAGTAGGGGTGAGATAGACCTCATAACCGGTTGAAATAAACCGGAGGGTAGGTTGGGGACCTAGATATGCCTGACAGGGTAGGTCAAGCACCCATATATGCTTGACATGGGTAGGTTGAGCACCCAGGTATGCTCAACAGGGTAGGTCGGGCACCCATATATGCCTGACAGGGTAGGCCGAGCACCCAGATATGCCTAGCAGTATATGATTATGTGGTATGATGGGGGAACTCACTAAGCTTCGTGCTTACGGTTTTCAGTTTTGGTTTCAGGTACTTCTTCTTCAAAAGGAAAGGAGTCTGCATGATCTCAGCACATCACACAATGATTTTCCGCATTACGAGATCTTTGGGAGTTGTACTCTGCTATTGTTCTTTTATAACATGTTTCAGTTATTTGACATACTGGTTTGATTATGATATGGGGTGAGACTATTGAGGTTTTCAGACTATCGGTTTTTCTTAAGTACTTAATTAAAAATGAAATTTTTGGTCATGAATTTTGGGATGTTACATTCATTAGCAGGTTAGCCATAAAGAGAGCTGAAAACGTTGTGAATTTGATGCGCCTTCTTCCAAAAATGTTTGAACCACAAAGTGAGCTCCTTCTACTTCGGTCTTGTATGGGTATTGCTAAACTTCTCTTTGGACTGAGGACGTGCCAACCCGTTCACATGGAGGAGGCGGCGTTGTTCTTCGATAATGGGTTGCGCGAGGCGATTGAGGACATTGTAGTTTGTGGTGGCCCTTTCTTTGGCGACATACAGTGGCGACTTGCTTCCTTACCCATTCGGTTTGGTGGTTTGGGTTTATACTCGGAAGTAGAGGATACCTCATATGCTTTTGTTTCCTCAAGGGCCCAATCTTGGGTATTGCGAAACCACATATTACGGGATAACGACATTTATGGTATGGATTCTGATTATGATTGTGCCTTAGTTTCTCTTCGTAACAAGCTTCCAGACATTGACCTTAGCATCTTTACTAGTAAGGACACCCCCCCCCCCAAAAAATCCCAGAATACATTGGCGAGTGCCCTTTTTAGTAAAATTGTCAAAGATATGGAAGTGCATTTCAACATGACGGCTCGGCAGAAAGCAGTTTTCTAGTGTTTACGTGCACCACATGCTCAAGATTTTCTTCTAGCTATCCCTATAGACGGGCTTGACCAACATATGTCTCATGTGGAGTATCGTACCATCCTCAAATATCGACTCATGATTCCAATATTCCCAACAGACGAGATATGTCGGTGTGCCGCAAGACATGTTCGAACTCTTTTGGAGAGCATGTAGTTCATTGCAAAGAACTCCCGGGGGTTCAAATACAAGCACGATATGGTTAAGGATGTTTTGGTTGGCATATTTAAGCGTGCCTGGGTTTCCGCCAAGAAAGAGGCTCCTGTGAATTTCCTGACTGACCCGACAGAAGGAAGGTCAACCCTTAGACCAGCTGACGTTTTGATTTTTGGATGGGTTGGAGGGAAACACACATGTGTGGACCTTACAGGGGTATCCTCTCTCGTAGGCTTCAGGGTCGGGGGTTTCACGGCGGGATATGTTGCATTAAAAGCTGCTACATGCAAGGTTACCAAACATGAGAAATCGTACGTGAAAAATCAACATGTGTTCATACCCTTTGCATTTGATACGTTTGGTTTCTTTGCGCCGGATGCGGTTGAACTTCTCAGTATAGTACAAAGGATCATGCATAACAATGTTATAGTCTTCAAAAGAATCAACTTTACCATACAAAAAGGCTTAGCGGCGCAACTTGTTGCCCGTTTGTCTTCTCATTCGTCGTACGATGATAAGTATTAAGATCAATTAATATTATTGTCAGCTTACTTATATGAATTTTGTTCTAAATTATATGTAGAATATAGTGATTTTTTATTAGTAGCCTGCTCCATTTGGAGAAGAATCAGTCAAGGCCATTGTCCGGCCTTTTATTCAACAATCAAGAGTCCAAAAACATAAACCTATAAATAAAATCGTAATTTCTGTTTGATCTTTTCAAATCCAAGATTATTAAATTTCAAATTTTTAAAAAAACACCCGTTAACACCATCACAGTTCCATCGTCTCCATCATAGATTTCCCTGCAACTCGAAGCAATCAATTTAATAGCAATCTTTGGTAGCTTTTATTTCAATTCATGGGCCCACCCCACTACCTCTCACAAAACCCATAATCTTTCCTTTCAAGTAACATGAACATCAATCCTTTTCTTTCCACCACCTAATCAAACCCCTTATTCATCACTTCGATTCTCACAATTTGTTTTCCCTCAACCAATTTAATTACACTTTCTTTGTGTTCAAGAACACTAAAAATAAAAGGTTTATAAAATGGTTGGGGCGGCGAATGGTGGTAGAATACCACCACGGCAGATTTTTTCCGTTGTTAATGGCGGTCAAGATCCTGTTATCCGGGTCGGGCCAACAAGCAATGCGGGTTCGGATTGTGGAGCGATTGAATTCACTAGAGAAGACGTTGAATCATTGTTGCATGAGAAAATCAGAACAAAGAATAAGTTCAGTCTAAAGGTTAGTTTTATGTTGTTTTTCTTCTTCAGTTTATGTCGAATTTGGAATTAATTTTGTGGGGTTTTAGGAGAAATGTGATTCGATGATGGAGTATATAAAACGACTCAGAATATGTATCAAATGGTTTCAAGAACTTGAAGAGAATCTTTTGTTAGAGCAAGAAAAGAATGGGAAGATGCTGGAATCTGCAATAAATAGATGCAACGATATGGGTATAAATAATAATAATCATACTTTTAAGAACATCTTTTTTATAATTTAAACTAATTTTTTATGTTTCATTGGTTGAAGAATTGCTAATGAGCGAAAAGGAAGAAGAACTGAATTCGGTAATCATGGAGTTGAGAAGGAATTACACAGCGCTACAAGAGAAATTCGCAAAAGAAGAATCAGATAAATCGGTATTATTTGGATCTTGAAAAGTAATATTTTTTAAAAAAAAAATAATAATTTAATCTTGTTAAAAAATTAATATTAGGTGGCAATGGAAACATTAACAAAGGAGAAAGAAGCTAGATTGTATGCAGAGAGATCACAAACTTCAATCAAGGAAGAACTCGAAAGAGCTCAACGAGAAAGTAAAAGTGCTAATCAAAAGGTAATATGGATGATCTTGATGACACTCGATTATTTTATTATCTTATATAGATGATGTTGATTTTTTATTTATTTTTTGGTTTTTAGATATTATCACTCAATGATATGTATAAGAGGCTGCAAGAATATAACACGAGCTTACAACAATACAATAGTAAGCTTCAATCTGAGCTTAATCAAACGAATGAAATCCTCAAGAATGTTGAGAAGGAGAAGGTTGCAATGTTGGAGAATGTTAGCAACTTACGAGGCCATTGCACTTCTTTGCAAGATCAGTTGAATGCTACAAAAGTCGGTGTTTTCTGCATTTGATTTTTCTGAATTAGTTTTTCATATCTTAGACCCTCCCGCATTTGATTTTTCTGAATTAGTTTTTCATATCTTAGACCCTATTTATTATGCATGACATGACAATACAGTTTGGTATTAGAGACAAAAAAACAAAACAATTTTTTTGCCCCAACCAAAATTCGTGATATAAAGTGGGATAAAAAAATTGTTACTTTTGTCGCATTATACATCTTTCTTTTGGAAAGATATGAGACAAAAATAACATATTTTTTCTCATCCAAAAAAAGTAAGACAAAAAATTGCTATTTTTGTTGTACAAGACATTAGATTAAAACCAGGACAAAAACAACATTTTTTTGTCAACCAAAATGGTGAAAGGGGAGAGAGTGGGAATTGCTTTTTTTTTGTTACTATAATGTTTGAACATATATGGTACCAAAAAAAAACAGTTTTGACCTACCAAACAAGGTGAAACATGGTCTAACAAAAAAGATTTGATACTTTGGTCCCACTCACAAACAATATTTTGTTGTGTCACCCAAAAAATGAAATAAGTTCCGATAAAAAATTGCTAATTTTGTCCCATTGTGCAATGGATTGAAAATCAAAATCAAGGACAAAAACAAAAAAAAAAATTGTCCCACCCAAAAAGGTGAGACAAAATATTGTTGTTTATGTCCGGTGGGATAAACACAATTTTTTGTCCCACTCGTAGAGACTTTTTTTAAAAAAAATAAATAAATATATATTTCATCAATGCAAAAGTTATAAATGTTCTTATCCTAGCATAAAAAATAGTCCTAGAAAGCTTGTTTAGTCTTGTACGATAAGTCCAATATAATAAACACAACCTTTATCAAACATATTCTCAATCTATGGATTCATTTTCAGGCAAATACTAACGAGACATTGAAGCAAAAAGAAGATTTGGCAAGTGAAGTAGGGCGCCTAAGATTGGATTTACAACAAGTGAGAGATGACCGTGATCGCCAGCTGTCAAAAGTAGAAGATTTATCCAAAGAAGTTTCAAAATATAAAGAATGGAGTGGGAAATCATCGGATGAAATAGAAAACCTTACCTCAAGTTTATTATCTTCACAAGCCATTTGTTCCTCACAAAGTGATCAAATAAAGAAATTGCAACAAAAACTTACTGCAGCAGAAAGTAAATTAGAGATGTCTGATGTATCGGCATTTGAGATAAGAACGGGTTATGAAGAACAAAAGAAAATTAACTCCGACTTACAACTTCGTTTAGCTGAGGCAGAATTGAAACATTATGAAGGAGAACTCTTGCGTAAAAAATTGCATAACACAATTTTAGTGAGTTCCAATTTCTATTTAATTAATAAATTTATTTATATAATGGTTAACGAGTTTTTTAATTTTGAAACAGGAATTGAAAGGAAACATACGAGTTTTTTGTAGGGTGAGACCTTTGTTGTGTGATGATGATGGTGACAATGAGACAAAGACGGTTTCTTTTCCTACAACAACCGAAGGTCTTGGCCGAGGCGTTGAGTTATTGCAAAATGGTACTTTAAAGACTCTTTATCTTTCAAATTTGATTGCACATTTACAATTCAATGCAAGAATTAGCAAAGTGGTATGCTTTTTAATGAAGATTAAAATGAAATTACATTGCTATTTCTTGCATCTAAACCTTATGTTTAACTCTTCATATTATAACTTTCTATGTTTCTTGTTAAAAAAAGGGAAAAAACATTCTTTTAGTTTTGACAATGTATTTGTGCCCGAATCGACACAAGAGGAGGTGTTCGAGGAGGTCTCGCAGCTTGTGCAAAGTGCACTCGATGGTTATAAGGTGAAACAACATTGATTTTTAGTGTTTGTGTAATACATGTTAATTATAATAACAAATAAATAAATAAGCACATTGCTATTTAAGGTTTGTATCTTTGCTTATGGCCAAACGGGGTCCGGAAAAACTCATACAATGATGGGTACACCGGGAAACCATGATGAAAAAGGATTAATACCGCGATCTTTGGAACAAATATTCGAGTCCCGAGAAACACTTCAAAACCAAGAGTGGAAGTATGAAATGCAGGTTTGGAATCAATTTCCTTGTTTTTCTTGCTTAGAAGATTTATTATTATTATTTTATAAAAATGGGGTTTACAGGTTTCGATGTTGGAAATATACAATGACACTATACGCGATTTGTTGTCAACAAACCGAAATTGTTCAAATGAGTCGGGCAAGTATGCAATTAAACATGATCCGAATGGCAATACACATGTCTCTGATTTGACCATTGTGGATGTCCGTAGCAGTCGAGAAGTTTCATTTTTGTTAAACCGTGCTGCACAAGCCAGGTATTTTTATTTATGATTTCTCTGACAAGACATAACATAACAAATTATACTAAGTTATACTGACTAGTGTCAAAAAAGACAAAAAAAATGTACATTTTTGTCCTACCGAATGACTGGTGAGACAAGAACTTGCCCTAGTTAAATCTATGAAAATGACCATTTTACCCTTGGCTTGTGTTTCTTATTTTGTGAGGTGTACATGTGTTTCTTGATTAGGTCCGTGGGTAAGACTCAAATGAATGAACAATCGTCGAGAAGTCATTTTGTGTTCACTTTGAGGATATCAGGTGTTAATGAGGTAAGGGTAGTTTTGGGTTTTCAAAATTTTATCTGGTATTATATTAGCTAATTGGTTAATGATCGATGAAATCTTGATTTGCATTGTAGAACACGGGACAACAAGTGAAAGGTGTTCTTAACCTAATCGATCTTGCGGGTAGTGAACGTCTTTCCAAAAGTGAATCAACTGGAGTTCGATTAACAGAAACTCAATACATCAACAAAAGTTTGTCGTGTTTAAGTACTGTTATATTTGCATTAGCAAAGAAGGAAGAACATGTGCCTTTTAGGAACTCCAAGCTTACGTATCTCCTCCAGGTATAATGAATTCTGGTTTTGTTTATATTGGTTTTGGGTTTTGTTCTTAACCTAATTGATCGGAACTTGTTGTTCAGCCTTGCTTAGGTGGGGATTCGAAGACTTTGATGGTGGTGAATGTTTCTCCGGCAGCTAGCTCAGCCAATGAGTCACTTTGCTCTCTCCGGTTTGCCGCCAGAGTCAATGCTTGTGAGATTGGAACACCTCGCCGGCAAACCTCTTTCCGGCAGGTGGATGGTCGCCTCAGCTATGGCTAATGACGAGGCAAAAATCGTAATTATCAAACCTAATTGAATTTTCGAAACCCTAACAAGTTTGTTTGCAATCGATGTGTATATCAGAAGATTGAAGAAAAGTAGTTAGCTTGAATGAACGGAATTTGATTGAATAGATTTTTGGACATGTATTTTTGTAGTTTCATTTGCAAGATGTTTCTATATGTTTGTGTTTATTCTTGATTTACTATCGTTAATGCGTACATTGTGAAAAGATTACAGTTTTATATTGCATGATCTTGGAAAGATTCCGGCGATTTATTTTCCAATTTTTGTGTGGCTGTTATTATCCCACGTTTATGGCTATATATCTGATCTTTTGCTCAAATCTACAGACTTTTTTCTGTTTTCAGAAAGAACAAAGATGACAACTAATCTCCCAAATTTTCATTTGAGTCCTTTCAAATATCATTCAATTCAACCCCATTTCAATTTTTCGATTGCTTCATCAAATTCCCAAATCATAAAACCGAAAAAGATTCCTCCTTCGATATCCATTCAATGTAATCTCTCTTCTCCACCCAAATCCAAAGAGGAAGCTATACGTCAAGCAAAAACATGTCTTTCATCCACCTTAGAGAAACCTCTCAACAACCTAAAACTTACAGCTGGTAAACTCAAGAAACTAAAGCAGCCCAGATTCCGTGTCGAAATCCCAGTCAATGATGACTCTCCAGATTCCTTATCACAGCTTGCACTCCAAGTGTTCGATGAAATGCCCATTAAGAGAAAGGGCTCTAAAGTGAAGATTCTAATACTATGGCCTAATTCCACCTTAACAGAAGCTGCAAATAGAGTCGCATTTGGGTCAGTTGAGCATGTCGACATTTCTTCACTAAAAGATGGGGGAAACAGAGTTTTGAGCTCTGCTGACGTGGCAGTGTTTTTGACACCAGAAGCTTCACAAATGGAAGTGATGGAAACAATCACTAACAGTCTGTACCCAAAGCCAGTGGTGATATTCAACCCTAGATGGAGTTATGAAGATGAGGAAAACATTCTTGGTGATTTTGTTGACTTTTTGGGATCTTTTGAAGTGATTTATTCGTTTATGGGATTGGAGGTTAGAGGGCTATTGAGTAAGAGAAATGGTGTGGTGTTTAAGTGTGTGAGAGATGGGGTTTTGAGTGGCGAGAGGTGGAGTGTGCTTGTTGAAGAAGAAGAAGGAGAATTGAAAGTAGTTTCAAGATTCAAAACAAGGCCTTCCATTAATGAAGTTGAGAATGTTCTTTATAATTTGATGGCTATTAACTCTCCTATTACAAAGTCTGCAAAGTTCTTGAAAGGATTGGTTTCAAATGTAACTGGAAAAAAGTAAGTCTAGACCAAAGGGTTTTTTTTTTTTTTTTTAATTAAATTATGTATGAGTAAAAATTAAAATGACCGAATATAAGTAATGATATATGTTTTGATAAAGTTTTGTCTACGGAAGGTATTTTTTTTCTAGAGTGAAAAAGACGTATGTATGTAAGATATGTTTCTTTTTTAGACGAAATAAAGAATTTAATGAGAATAAATGATCATTTTACTCTTATAGTCGAAATAACAAAATTTATGATATTCATTAAATTTAATGTGAGATGAGTTGGGAGGCCATGAGGGTCTTAATAATTGTCCGCATTAAGTGATTTAAGAAAAAAAAAACAATTCTTATTTGATTACTTTTGATTAAGGAAAAAATGTGTAAAGTCGAAGTGAATGCTACTTATATCTCAAATCACCAAATTAGAAAAAATTGAAATAAAAAACTCTTTATGGTTTCATCTATACATGAAATATTCGCACATAATCGTTCATGTACATGTTTTAAGATGCTCTAATGTTGCATGACTTGATGAATTTATCTGAAAAGTTGACATACTTTGACCATAATGCCCTTAGCTCTGGAAAAGCTATATCTAACCATGGTTTAGCTCGACCATTGAAATGGATTACTGCAGCCTTTTGAGCATCTGGTATGCTTGTATTCTCTTGGTACCCAAGGCCTAACATATGCCAAAACGGGTCAATAATATGGACATATCCATGAAATGCTATTAAACCCGGAGGTAATGTTCCTAGTTGCCACAAACTTAGATCCGATTTCAAATTCTGCATGAGAAAAAACAAGTTGTTAGAGTTCTTTAGGTGTATTCAATTTATTTTTTATTGAGACATTATGCTTTGAAATACATAATTTTAAAAAAAAAAATCTACTTGGTGAAAATTGTTTTGTATATGGAAGACATTACTATAATCGTATAGATTTTTCAAAGTATAATACTATAATAGGAAGAAATGAAAGTAAGACGTTGCAATAAACAAATCAATGGAAGTAGGTTCTTATTTATTGCATAAACCCTTGTGTTTTTTTGTTTGAATATGTGTTACCTCCTCAAGCCAATAATGGTAATTGTGGCTTATGTTGGTATTTCTCCATGCTTCAAGGTCAAATATGTTCATGCCATAGGCCCAAGCACATTCATTTGCATCAAAGTTATTTGATATCAATGGATGAGAAAAGTTCAAGTAGTTTTTTAACCGTTTTGACATTACAAATTTGTCCCCTCCCCTACACGTTTCAACGGCTCCATTTACTTTTCCATTCATATCAATGTCCCAAAGAGGTGAAAGATCCGTTTGAACCACAAGGTCATCGTCTAGAAAGACTACCTTATTTAAACTAGGAAACATCTGCAAAAACCAACATCCACAATCATATTTATATTTATATGGTCAATATAAGTCATTCAAATGTTTCATCAAAAAAAATTATTCTTCCAAAAACTCCTTAATTGACCCATATCGGCCAAAAGTACTATATGAGAGGAAAATCAAGTACATAATTGTCGGTAAAGGGCAACAAAAAGAGCACAATCCAAATTGGAATTAAAACTCTGATGTGAGTCTAATTTAATGGCTAACATAAGGGACCAATCAACTCAGTCTAAGTTGGAGTTAGAGCACATTACATTTTTATTCTTGAGTATAACGAATTTTTTTGCCATTTTTGTTATAAAAAGTTTTATCTTGCAATTTTGATATTTGTTTGAGATTATCGTAACGTTTTTAGTCCTTGCTATAAGTTAGATGACTATTTTTTGTTACTTTTTACAATTTTGGGATAGAAAATATATATTTATTTGACTTGGACCAGGGATAAAAAGAATGTGATAAAAATATTAAATAATGACTAAAATTACAAGAAAAAAACCTTTTAGGACCAAATCTGAAATAATTAACTTTTAGGACCAAAATTGAAGTTTTATGGGGTTTGAAAAGTTTTTTATGAAAAAATTCAAGAAATAAGCAAATTATGAAATGGTGTTTAAAACTTTACCTCTGGCAAATAAATTCGAACATGGTTCATGAGCGAGTTATACTTGGGACTCATCGCCTGCAACTTTGCAGCAATAACATAAGGTTTCTCGGTCTTATTAGCAACAATGGCGGACGACCCACCTCTAAACTGAGCCCTAGCCATCTGATCTTTCTCCATAGCTTCCAAAACCGGTACTTTCCCCTTCGCAAACCAATCAAAATGATGCAACGCCTTAACCTCTATAACCGCCGGCGTTAATGGATGCAACGAGAACCACGCCTGCATCGGAGAGTAAGTCTTCCGATCTGTAATTATATGAACCACCACCGTTTCAGGGCGGAGCGAGTTGTAAACGAGCGAGGTGGCCACCACAGAGGCGGCGAGGATGTTGTCGGACGCGAGAACGAAGTGGAAGTATGAGTTGTCGACGAGTGCCGGCACGAGCTCCGGCGATGGGATCTGGCGGCGGGCGGCGGCGTTGGTAGCGTGCTCGGTGGCTAACCGGAGTGCGAGACAGTGGAGTTGTTTTGGGATGCTGCTGGAGGCGACATGGCGGTATAAGTATTCTTGGATTTTGGCTTTTCGAGTTCTTTGTTCAAGAAGGGTCACCTGAAAATCGAAATCGAAATCGAAAATGTGTTGGTGTGTGTTTTACTGTGTGTAGGAAACCATTAACGAATAACGATAACCAGTTAATCACCATGGATTTGAGCTTAATGGCGAAGGTTTTTGCGTCTGGTCTATTGTTGCCTTTCAAACTCGAAACAAAATCTTCTAAAGTTTCAGGAATGTCAACTTCAGACCCTTCGGTTATGTCGTATTTACTAGAGGAGTCCTCCAAGATTTGGTATATTACTTCTGGGACCTTGAAGAAAAGCAGAAATAACATTATGTTAAAGGGATGAATTGAACTATGAAAATTTATTTCAGGTCGAGAAACAATCAGACGTATATGAACAAGTGTTTGAACCAACAAGTGGATGGTTACGCATTCAGAAAATCATGTGTTTGTAAAAGATTAGGGTTTAGAAAATTTACAGTTGATTGAAGATTTTTACGTGGTCCTAGTTTCTTTCGTAGGCAACCTGTCATTAGAACATAAAAGTGGTTATATGTTTATGTTATCATAAAATTAAGTTACACTGAGATTTTTGGTACAAAGTATGATAAATTACAGAAATATCACCATCAAGGTTATTAAAATCTCAATCATGATTGTAGGATCGTACGATCCTATGAACCACTAAGGTGATCCCAATTTTACTTAGGATCGTAAGTTTGTAAGATTGTTACTATTTTTATTAAAAAAATCATATTTTTTGTTCGACTTACTACACAGTTACCCCTTTTGAATTGTTTATCCACAAATAATGTATTATATATATATATATATATATATATATATTTATGTTTTAACTATATATTATTAACTGATAGATAAAAATATACATCTTAAGTTTTAAAATTACGATCATAATCTAGTAAAACAGAAAATTTCTAAATAAAATCTCGATGTTGACAACTTTGATCACCATATTATAATATATTTTATCTACTGATTATTAATTTGTTTATTGGCTTTGAATAAAAACCATTGATATTTATATTTTTGATCTTAACCGATTCATGCATGCCTTTCTTTGTTTTGCAATATCATTTTGTCAGATAATTTGACTATACAAAATATTATTAACTTAATTTTTTTCTTAACGGTAACCGTTTTATTTATTTATATATTTATTATCAACTAATTTATCCCATCATTGTGAAACAAATGCTTATGTGAACATTTTTATAGCGGTATTCTCCTCTTTAAAAACTGTCATGTAAACAATTTAAACATGATAATCGATTTACATGGGTCAATGATAATGATTTAAATGGAAAAAATATCAATGGTATTTATGAATAAAGTTAAAGACCTTTTAGGTAAAAATATATTTTGATCATATAATGATTTTTGGTTTTTATGTAATATGACCTTCAAAGTATTAAGAGCCGTGTTTTGAAAGTGCTTATACTATATTATTTGGGTAAAATCTTATCATTAATTGTAATAAAACGTGTAGGAAATAATATTTCGAGGCGTTTATGCTGTTTGGAGTAGTAATAATTGTATTTGATACATTTTAAATTTTATGGAACTAATTGATTTTTCTTTGTGATAATAAGTTAATTCTACTGCAATTTGTATGATGATCATACAAAATAATTATTTAAAAACTAAATAACAAGATAATCAGAAACAAAATATGGTTATCCAAATATCAAAGATTATCTATTAATAGTTTAAGACTTCATATCACAAAACTTATATTAATATTTTTTAAAATATATTCAAAAACATTTCAAATATCAAAAAGAACAATAATATTTGCTCGTAATCATAAATACCAGTCTTGCTTTTCGTGGTTTTATTATCAAAACATGAGTGAAAAAATACGAAAAATATAATTCGTAAATTTGTAAAAGTCGTTGATATTATAATGATTTCTTTTTAGAAAAATGGAGTGTTTGGTCTGCATTGTTGATTGGTGATATTTGACCGATCTTTTACTGTCATATTTGTTGGTCTATCAATTCGATATTGGTGGACTTTTAAATAAGTTTACTTTTAAATAATATATAAATTAAGAATTCTTTCAAAGAAAAAAAGTATACTTAAGCAGATGAATATCTATTTGTTTGTAATTATTGCTTCTAAAATAAATTAATCAAATATCTATTTGTTTGTAATTATTGTCTCTAAAATAAATGAATCAAGAATAACGGCCAATAAAGATTTATTTCTCATCATGTTATAGAACCATCTAAACATCTCCAAAAACGTTTAAAGATCCAAACAGAAGACACAGAGTTTGATTATCATTTGAGAACTGAAAAAAACAAATACAAAAATAGATATTTTTTTAAACGACATGCTACACAAAAGTTGAAGCATACGTGACACAAAAACAAATATCGTTGTGTTGTCAGTCTTTAGACAAGAAAACAAATAACAAAAACGTACCGATGGAGGAGCATCTGGTTTGACCATCAATGGTATCGACAGCAGTCAACACGAACACAAACCGAAGAAGGAACGTAAAGAACAAAAGTGAGTAAAACACCATTCGATAAGACAACCTTCTTGATCCAACCTTCACTTTTATGAACTCCCTCACTCCTTTTCCAGGCAACACCGTGACATGTCTAAGACTTGGAGATATATGGAGTTGCATTTTCATCAACGGCAATATATCTATGAATGGAGTTAAGAGTATATATGTATATGTATGTAAATAGCTATAAAAAGTGAGGGTGATTAGTATTGTGGAGAGATGGAGAGTGAATAAATTGGCAAAGTACAAGGTGCGAAGGGGGAAATCTGTTGAGGGTTTGCCATCTCCTACCTAAACTTGCTTGAGGTTTAGGTTATTAATATATTATGGATGCATGTCATATGTATGTTTTAATGTTATTTTTTACTTTGATTTTGGAGGAATATGACATTAGACTAAGAATGGGGTGTGCTTGTTTCATCACTCTTTCACTTTCAAGATGCCAACTCCCTAACTTTTATATATATATATATATATATATATATTATATTATATATATATATATCTAATATATATATATATATATATATAAGGGCTAAGTTATTTTGTTTCTTATATTTATTGTGTGCTAGATTACACCAAATAGGAATTTAGTAAATTAAATAATTATTTAATTAAATAAATATAAATATTAAATGATTTCCATAATTATATGTATATTAAATGATATCCATAATTATAATTCTCTTTTTATGGAAACTAATTAAATCTGTCATTAATGTCAGCAATAACATTCTTTCAGAATGAATTCGCATCTAAGTTTTTATATATGAGTTTGTGTTTTGTTTCAGGACTCACTCACTTGAAATACATTAAAGTTGAATGGAATATGAAGAACGAGAGTGTATTCTACTAGAATACACTCTCATTCTGCTGGAATACACTCTCATTCTTCTAGATATGAATTCATTCTGAAAGAATATTATTGTTGACATTAATGACGAATCTAATTAGTCTCCATAAAAATCAGTTATAAGTATGGATAACATTTAATATACATATAATTATTACTAAATTTTTATTGGTGCATTCTAGCACACAATAGACGTGAGAAACATTTGAACCTATATATATATATATATATATATATATATATATATATATATATATATATATATATATATATATATATATATAGGAGAGGTTATATTGAGAATAACAAAAAGTTGAGAACACGAGAATATTTTTGGACCAATCATTTTATAAAAATAGATTAATAATTTTATATTTTAACTAAACTGTAGCATATTAAAATGAAATCATAATTTTCTAAAATCTAGCGATAATAAATGTAGTTATCTAAAAAAAGATTAATAGAATTTATTTATTTATTTATTTATTAATGGAATATAAAATAATTGTTTTCCATTTTTTTTCAAAATAAAAAAACAACTTTTTTCCTTGTTTTACTTGATTCACATGTTTTTATTCATAAAAGAGTAAATCACAATATATTTTCAAGTTTATTACATAACTGGAATAATTGTAATCATATATGAAGGAAATAGTAACCATAAATAAATACGCTTTGTAATATGAAATGAATAAAAAAATTTCAGATAAAAGTTTTCAAGACAATTTGGTTGTGTTATAACTGGACAGAATAGTTAGATGAAGATGGTCGTGATCGGCTGTGTAGATCACCGACCAATTTGATGAATTGCCCCTTCCCTATTTCTCGGTTCAACAACAATTGTTCAAGGTCCCCATTCTCTATTTCTCGATTCAGTATTTGTTATAAAAAGCTCAAGAACAAATGATTTGCCCTCCTTTGGGTGTATATGTGCATGTTTTCTTTATTCTAAGGATGGTGGTCATCTGCGATGGTTTTTCCGGTTTAAGGCAATAGTGGTTGCTTAATATGAGAGTGTGGCTGGTTAAGAAGTTGGAGAGGGTCGTCTTTCGTCTTTGAATAAACATATTTTTAAGGAAATTAAGCCTTTTGAATTTACTTCTATAACTTTAAACTTATTTTCTTATTTACATGTTGAGATATTTAGTTTTGAATATGAGAGAATTGACCCCTTACATATTATTCGTAGATCTAAGTAATTGGATGGTTGTAATGTGTTATCGCGTTTTCAACCTTTTGAGTTGTCACGATTTAACCTCTCTCTCTCTCTATGTATATATATATATATATATATATATATATATATATATATATATATATATTATACCTTATAAAACATATTTAGTCAGATGCTGAATTTTAAGTCGTGCAAAACTTATTGTGATATATGTATAATGAATTTATGCATTGGAATCTTATATAGTCAGCATATTCTATCCTAAAACCAAGAAAGTCAATGAAATCGGAAGACCCATTCAAATGAGAATTCCCCAAATTTGTGCTAAAAGTACAAGAGATTAGTTCATATTAGGAGACTCTCATTCAATCATATTTGATGATGACCAATTCATAACATAATCTAAGGAGTTATAGTTACATGGAACCTTGAATTCCAATAATCTAGGCCCCCATCTCCTTAAATTCCTTAAATGATGACCATACGCTTTCTCTCATATTTTCTCTCCAAAAACGAATGTGATCTCCATCATCTGTTAAGAAAACCACCACCACCACTCTCCTCCACCTCTCTTCCCTAACCGATGACCTCCACTAACACTCATGCACCACCATTGCTTTTCCTCTTCACCAAGAACGCAGTTGTCACTACTTTTACTCTCCACCAAGGCTTACTGCGGTGTGGGGTAGGGGTTTGAGTTGTTTTTTTCTAGATGGGTTTTTATTTATCAGCCTTCACTTCGCTGGAACCACTATGGTACCAGATTACTCAATGATTAAAAAGTTTTTTAAAATAAAACTTGAGAATTAACCAACAAAAAACGCCTAAGATTCACTGACACCACCACTAGGTCCTCCGGTCGTCTCTCTCTCTCTCTCTCTCTCTCTCTCTCTCTCTCTCTATCTATCTATCTATCTATCTATCTATCTATCTATCTTATTCTTTAATCTGATTTTGTTAGATTTCATGTTCAATTTCTTCTTTTTCGTTTGTCAGACCCCTATATTGGTTCATTGATTCAGGTCGAGGACCTGAAACCCCTATTTCAATCTTCATCAATTTGTGGGGTTCTTTTTAATATTTAAGATTTCAATTTATGCTTCATATAATTACTGTCATTTAATGTTGTCTAACTCTTATGATTATGCTATTCACAAGTCTCCCAGTTTGTTTGATGAATTCTAGATGTGGGATTTTTTTTATATCTATCATGAGGACAATTATAATGATGTGGACCTCTTAGGGTAGGAGATCACTCTCATTAAAGGTAACCCACGATTTTGAGTTTGAGGGTAACATCTGCATACATTGTTTAAGTTTCTTATTACTAGATCTTTTGAGGCTAATAAGAATCAATATGGTTGTAGGATGATATTTATAGATGAAATCTAATTCTCTTTTCATTTGAAGACTACTCTCATTAAAGGTAACCCACAATTTTCAATCTATCATCTCAAAAATTCATTACTATTTTATAGCCTGATCATAGTTAACTTGTAGTAGTTAATAGGGTCTAATATTGTCTACAAATTGTATTTTAAGATTTGATACTATTCAATCTTTATTTTTTGTAATATCTATTCACGTTTATGTAACAGATGGAGAGAGGTTCAGTCATTTTTGTGATATTTTTGAACTTAAACATTCATTTTAGATAAAAACATGTCCGATTTCAACCATACAACTAAAACTTATGCTAAAATTTATCTCTGTGATACTCGTGGTCCCAGGTATTTTTAATTATGACTTAAAGTATAAAATATTTGCAATTTTGGTCCTTGCGTCGGGCGTACCCAATTTGTATGTCCCAAATTAGCTTTGATATATCAATCAGATTCACTTGATGGTGCGGAATCCCAATCAAGTGAATGATGCAAGATAAAATATAGAAGAAGAACAAGAACACAAGATGATTAATCTTCAAATGCACACTATATTCATTATAGTCTGGTACATAAGATGTTGATAACACACGTTCTCTCTTGTTTTCTCTCCTAAATCACGTCTCTTGCAATATGGCAGCCCCAAAACGTCCCATACTCTCTAATCACTTTCTTTCACGCCTTTTTAACACTATTTATATGTATGAACCCAAAGTACAAAGTCCAAACCGTAAACCCAATAGTCTGACCGAAATCACAAGTGATTTCGGTCCAAACAACAAATAAACTCATGGGGATTTTGGCCCTAGACCGAAAATCATAAAGGCCTAGAAAAGCAAAGTATAAACCATAAATTTAGATCTAACAATCTCCCCCTTGGTTTATAGCTTTCTTTTCTTATGACCTAACAAGCTCCCCCTGGGTTTGTAGCTTTCTTTTCTTCTCAATCTTCGCTTTGTGCTTGTCTGCAACTTTTATCTTCGATTTCTTCACAACTTTAAGATAAAAAAATGAATTTCTGCATGAATGACTTCATCTTGAACTGTTTGACTTTTCTCTCAAAAATTTACTTTGAACACACATTTGGAGTGGAGGCTTCTTGTAAGGATTCTTGAAAATCAGCACTTTCAGCTTTTAGAATCTTCAGAGAAAATAACAGAGAGACCGATTCTTCTGGATCACTTCAGCAGGTTCATAGATAACAGCAAATTGCTTGAGGAGGCTTCAATGCAATCTGTCACATAACTTCAAGTACAACTTCACCTTGCTTCTGGGGTTGAAAGATTGTGTGTTGAAAAATAATCTTCACTTCTTGTTCCTTCGAATGAACGTTCTTCAATGATCACCGTTGCGCCTTGAAAAGTAACAAATGACTAAAAAGTCCATGTGGATCACAGAATCATAAAAACCCTTCTCACCACAGTTGTTCAAGGATGTAACCTTGGCTCAGAAAGAGACTACTCGCAGTATCTGTGTGAAACTAAAGTCTCCTTGAGTCTCTTCTTCCTTTGAATTCTCCTTGAGTCTCTTCTTCCTTTGAGTTCTCGTTTTTAAGATAAATGAAATTTTGAGATAAAAACAAAACTAAACATAAACTTAGCACACAACAATACAAAAATGACCAAGAAATAAAAATAAAAATAAAAACAAAATACACTCAAAAGCAATATTTTTGGATTTTTTTTATTTTTCTGAAAAAGAAATAAAAACAGAAATAAACATATTTTTGGATTTTTAATTTTCTGATTTTTGTTTGATTTTTAATTTTTTTAATT